AACAGGGTTTTGAAACCCTTATTTGCGAAAATCCAAGGCCTAGGGTTTAATTGTCATAAACCCTAATTTTTGTCAAGTTCAATCAATTGCATCAAATCTAATTGAAAACAAAACCAATAGTTTTGATACCATTGGTGGGTTTTGAGCATAACAAACAATCTTATGTGTGCATGCAACCCTAAATGTTTGGATCTATGTTTTCCTTATTAGATATACAAGCATTGAACACAAAAGCAAGAAACCCTAGCATGCTTCTACATTTTTCGAAATTAACAAAATAAGGATTAGAACGCATACCTTTATTGTTATATTGTAATAATAATGGATTCCGTGGAGATCATGACTTTGAGAACAAGTGTCACAAATGTAACACCTCTTGTGGCTCACAAATACACCAAGCAAGATGATGAGAGGAGAAAGGAGGAAAGTTCTTCAAAGTTCCAGCTCTTCTAGGGTTTCAAAGTGATGATGAAACTTATAGGGGTGAGGCTCCTTTTATAGTTTTGGTTGCTTAGTCCCAAAACAAGGGTTTACTGGAGGAAACCCTAATTTCCAGCTTAAGGCCTAAGCAGCCAATGGATTCCCCTTCACAAGGCCTTGGACGAAAATCCTTAGGGCCTCCCTAGAGTTTTCGTCCAACCCTCTTTAGGGTGGTCCAAGAGTACTAAACCACAACTATTAATTAGTTGCAAAACAACCCTTGTGCTTTTAATTAATTCATTTAATCACAAAACTATTTTGAAATTAATTTCTGATTAAATATTAATTAAATGACATGATTTATAATTATTATATTATTTTCATAATAAATTAATAAATCATTTTATATACTAATTTATTATTCCAAATAATAAATTCAAACTCTCTCTCCAAAAAAATCATCGTGTCAAGTTGCTAGTATGAAGGCAATCCAAAAGGATCGTGCTACTATCAGTTCAAGTACATACCATTTATAGTTATGAGCTTAGACACCTAATCCAACATTTTTAATGAGTTTAAAAGATTCCTTGTCGAAGCTTGATTTGTCTCAAAAATTTGCTGCCTCTCAAGATTTGATTTCGAATATGATTTCTTCTCTTGAATCGAATCTCAAAGCAGTACTTGCTCCTCTACTTAAGCTGGCTATGTTGAGGCTAACGAGTTCCCTGCCTGTGTACCAATTGGTGCAAGGGGGAGATAAGGGGGTTGGCTCTTTAAAGGATCCTGATCAACGTAAAGTGGTTCGGAAGATGATATCAACTCAACTTTCGACATTACTTCCTGTTTCTCTAACAACCACTTCTACAACGACTACTTCGAGACCAATAACCAAAGACATTGTTATTGGAGAGACTATTGCGGGATAAAAGTCAAGTTCAAAACCACTACCTTTTAAGGATGATAAAGGTGATAAAGGGAAGGGTATCGAGAAAGTGATTTCTGATGAAGAGAAAAAGAAATATGTGGAGAAGGAAATGGAGAGAGATGGACAAATAAACAACATACTAAGACAAAGGCAAAGTGATCCACCCGGATTACAGAAAGGTGATCCGAGCAAACATTGGTGCTATAAGACAATCGAGGAAGTAGTCTCATCTAGAAAGATGCATGCTTTCAGAAAGTTTCCGGACAATAGTTATAAGATCAAAAATACTGATTTTAATCATCTTGATTTTCTGATTAAACATATGATGTTCATCTCTGCTCAGTATCAGTTGGTTGATAGATTTGAAGACAAGGATGAGTACACGATATTGAAGATGAGATTTCATGTTGTGTTGGGAAAGAATGAGGAAGAAGTTTGGTCTTCTGTCAACATTGTTAAGGTGTTGAACATTACCAGAGAAAGTTTGTTCGAGGGCTTGTTATAGAATTTTCGATATCATGTGGTGAGAGAAAACAACGTTGCTCGTGACATTTCTGTGGCAGATTTCCCTCTTATGAACCTAGATGACCAAATTGTCATAACGAAGATTCTTAGCTCTATTGATGTGTCAAAGCTACAGGACAGCAATAAGGATGATTTTTTAATTGGATTTGCACATATCATAGTTTTCATAGACAATTACTATGATTGCTTAGCATTGACAGAAATTGAGTGTGCTATGGCATTGAATAGAACTTCGAAGGTTCCCCAGTCGATGCTTAACGGACAAGTTAGTTTCAAGGACTATGATGACGGGGAGATTGTTCCTAAACCTTTGGGAGTTTTCTTTCTTGGGAAGCACAAGGAAAACAAGATGCAAAGTTTATATTTCAAACTTGTGATGTGGAGAGGTACACGAACTCTCAGTATACAAGTCCTATGGTTCTTCTTGGCAATTATAAAATGAATCTGTTGAAGATAAAGCTGAAATCCTGAAGACGATCATCTGGTATACCAACGCGTCGAGTACTTCACTAGGTCATGAAGATAATGATACATAGATTAAAAACTTCTTACTAAGGGGAGATTGTAGAGTTCGAAGTATGTAGTGAGGTGTCGAAGTACAGTTACTCCTGGTTAGTGTCAAATTCGTTAAGTTGTATTTCCAATGTATGTTTTACAAAAAGCATTGTCAGAGGTCGATGCTATCATGTCTAACCCTTATGTATTTTGTGTACGCGTCTGTTACTCCCTATAAATAGGGATAAGTGTAGGAGTCAAGAGTATTTTTGGTGAGAGTGAGCACTTCACTCTTCTGTACTTCTGTATTCTTTCCGAAATAATCAAAGAGCCAAATAGGTGCTATTTACATCTTTGTTCTTATCGCATTCAGTTATTGATTTTGTTCTTATTACTCGATTAAAACTTACTACAAAGATACATAGATAGAAGGGTCCCACGGGGACAAGAGTATGGTTACTACAGGAACAAGAGTGAGGTTCCTTCAGGGACAAGAGTATGGTTCCTACCGGAACAACAGTAAGTTTCCTTCGGGTGTAAGAGTATGGTTCCTTTGTGAACAAGAGAAAGGTTGCTTCCAGGACAAGAGCATTGTTCCTATGGGAATAAGAGTATTGTTCCTTCAAGAACAAGAGTATGGTTCCTTCGGGGATAAGAGATAGAGACTCCTTCGGGAATAAAGTAGAGGTTCCTATGGGGACAAAGAGTATGAATCCTGCAGGAATAAGATTATGTTCCTACGGGGAAAGAGATAGATGACTTCCTCTAGGAATATAGATAGATGATTTTTGCGAGAATCTAGAATGGGTATGGCTAGAAAAGATAGAGTAAGGTTCCTTGAGAGGAACAAGATAATGTAATGCTTTGTAAAAACTTAGATGTAACCCACAAGGGCTAAGTGTAAGGAATCCATGAGGGGTTAGTGAGTAAGAAGAAAGATTATGGATCTTTGAAAGATCATAAGAGAAAGGGTTAATAATGGGTTAGCGCACCCAGTAATGAAAGTGGGATGTTATTATCTTAGAGTATGAGTTGTGACGTTTGGTTGTAGATGAGTACAAAGTGCTGAGGCATTAGAGATGTGGATAGAGAAAGAGTTAGAGTATGTATAGAGCATGAGAAGAGTCTGTTAAGAGACTAAGAGAAAAGAAAGAGAAGAAATTAGGAAAGAGACATAGTTAGAGCAAGAGAAGAGTATGAGAATAGCCTATTAAGAGGGTAAGAAAAAGAAGAAATATAGAAAGAGACAAAGCTTGTTAAGGTGCTTAAAAGAAAGAGTAGAGTAGAGAAAGAATGGAGAAGAGAAAAAGATATATGAAAGAAATAAATGATAGTAGTGTATGTTATGAAAGAAACAGATAAGAGGATAGAGTATGAGAAAGAGAAGGAAAGAAATAGAAAAAGAATATGGAAGAATAACTCACCAGACAATTTGTGTCTGATGCTGCAAATGTTTATGTTTTGCAGGTTCGGGTTGTAGCAGCCGTTGTTCCAGAAGAGAAGATATGAGCACATGGAAGATATAGATAATATGTTACTATTTATGTAATTTCCTTTATTGGTCCAATTTGTATGTAGATTTTGTTGTAAACATGTGATTGTTGCTTGCGATGTAAAGGTTTTAACTAGTATAGAATTTTGCGTTGAATAAATAAAACTCTGATATATCTCATAAAATAGATATATACAAATTTGGGTCATGACAATAGGTTTGCATGATATTGTGAGGAAAGCATCAAAAACATCATCTTGCTATAGAAAAAAAAAAATTCAAAACAGTTTCGGAATGAGACAAGTCTTCTGGAACACACTATGTTGAACATTTCGGACATGTTCGCATTCCAAATATGTTTTGTGCGTGTTCCAGAATGCATTATGTATGTTTCGGGCTACAATTTTCAATGTGGAATAATGTAAGGCACTACAAAACTAATTATCTAATACTATGATCCTTACTAACACTAAAAAACTGCATAATTTTTGCAAATTCAGAGTTCCAAAGTAATATTTCGTAAATGTTCTTTTGTGTTCCGGACCAATTCTTCGTATTCCGAACTCACTTATTTACAAATATAATTAGAAGGTTAAACAATGAGAAACAAATGCGTGAATAACTAATATGTAAAACTTCTAACTCAATGGAATCAGGTGTCATATCTTCTTTGTCCATTTTGTCCAAAAATATAACAATATTCCGATATACATTTTAGAATAACTTTTGTTATGGTATATTCCGATTTGCATTCCGCAATAACTTTTGTTATGGTATATAGCCAATGTTATAATAACGTAAGGCGTGACTTTACGACAATGTTAACCCTCAAGATTTACCGAGCCTTGGCGAACCTCGTCGTTTGCAAGACGTGATTTAAAACAACAATTTTGTATATATAATTAATATTTTTATATGTGTTTTCAACTATTATTCTATTTTATACACATATATAAGTTAAAACATCGTTTTGATAAAACTTGGTAACAAACACAAGTTTTGGAGTCATAACGTATCATTGCGGAACCATAATTAGCTTTTTAGAACCTTGTTTATACCTATAACCCGATTGGATTGGGCCGGACCCACAAGATGGTTATTTTTCAAAAAAAAAAATCAAACAATTCATTCTTTTGAATAAAACAAAAATAGTATGGTTAGATTACTCACTAAAAGAAATTGATTCGAGCACTTTTTTAAGTTAAACAATATCTATGCTTTAAGTAAAACACGATATTGATACGAAATACGTCGACCATTGGTTATCTTTAAGTTTTTAATCCAAAAATAAAAACAAAAAAGCACAGAAAAAATGGGTGGCATTGGGATGACGGTGGTTAATTCGTCCCTAAAGCCACCGGCGCCGGCGAGAGGGGTTGATGTGTTCGTGGCGGCAGTGCCATTAACAGCCACCAAGGGTGCGCCGCAGTTGCTTATGTCGACCGCCTACTCTTTCTCTCTTTCTTGGGATTTACAGCACTTCATGGTCCTCACTTCCTCAGCTGATCTTCCTTCTCAGGTTCCACAGCTTATAAATAAAGAGATATTAGGGCAAATTTTCATCAATTGGGTATTAACGGTGTATATTCGCTGGTAATTGGATTCTGTTAATTTTCTCTTGTTTGAAAGGTAATGGTTTCTGATTTTCAACCTCAAGATCCTGAAAGTATATATGCAGCACTTGCAGCTATATCAGGTAGAAAAATACCAGGTATGATCCAATTAACTCAATTCTGTCTTCAAGATGTTCGATGAAATGCCTGAGAGAAGTACAATATCTGTATCTTTTCCTGATTCAGGAGTTTTGCAAATGAGGATGATGAAGAAATTGCCCAAGACTAAATGCTGGAAAGTTGGATCTTGTAAAGTTGATGTTGTTGATACAATAAACAAGTTTAATAGCAATTGGGATACTGATCTTATTATTGGTCGACATGATTGTCGACATTACACAAATGGTATTAAGATTACAATCTCATTGTTAATTAAATTTTTAGATTCTCCACTAGGAATCATGATCTTTTAATTTTCTTGTGATTAATACTTATATTTTCTTGATTTTTCTAACTTAAATTCGTGTTAATTTAAAGGATTAGTGGAATGTCTCACAGGCAAGAAGTATGTGCTGGATAGATTAAGAACAAGGCAAACCAGTATTGCTTGAGAGTTGCAATCAAATTTGTTAATATTTGTATTTATATGTAATCCACATTTTTTTAATTCAATGGATATATTATAGATTGTTTTAGAATGTTGGGGACATTGTCACAAAGATTCCCAATCATAAATTATAGAGAACTAAAAACATAAACATATAATGGAAAACTACAAAACCAAGAGAAAAACTATAGCTTTCATGAGAGAAAAGTTAAGGGGAAATAATATTTGAGCCCTACAATACAATGTTTTTGGAATTTGTATAATTGCACATAAGCTATTATTGTTGTTTTATGGAAGCATAAGGTGGATGTCAAACTGTTTTTTTTATAACTGCTATCTAATATAACATGTTTTATAAGTCATATAGGCACTTGTTTATCCCCTTTTTTTTACGAAAAAAAAAAAAGGATTCCACACTCTTTCCCTTTCCCCTTTCTCTTACAACAACACACACCGCCACCCAACCAATTGAAATCCTCACGGGAAAACTGATATCATCATAACCCTTATAAATCGACGATAATGGTGGTGCTTAATGATAGACGAAGCTTCAAATGAACGAAGTTGGGCGATGTTCAGAAGAACGGTCCTCCTATTCTTGAGACTCACATCCACCATATACCTTCACTACCACCTCAATGGGCTCCATCGGCGTCCCGTTAGTAGACGAAGATGTTGCCTCTGTTGCTTCGAGGAGGACGAACTCCACCTTGTTTCGGCATAGTTCCACTCCCACCTTTATCCCTCGTAAAACCGTGTGTCAATGGCTTTGAGTGTAAATCATCAAGAATTGTGATGATGGTGATAGTGGGGCTATTTTGGGGTTCCATTCTTTTTCTTAGGCACCATTTTCAAACATTAAGTCAGATATGTGGAGGTTGTTGGGCCTTGGTCTCGATATGGTGATGGTGGTGATGGTGGTGGGGTTGTTTTCGTTTTTTTTTCATGGTAGTGCAGGAGGTGGCGTTTGTGGTGATTGAAGATGGTAGTGGTTGTAGTGGTGGTTATGGGATAAGGATAATTGTCGGTTCTAACTTGGTGCAAGGTTGAAGGTGGTGATGGTGGTGATTTGTGGTTTGTGGAGGATTATGGGTGTTATTGGTGAGTTGTCGAGGTGGTCACTATGCGGATATGGTGGTAGTGGAGATGAGTTGTTGAAAGTGCAGACCAAATGTGATAGTTTTTGACTTTTGTTCATCTATTTCATAAGAGGTAACCGATTTACCCTTCGTTTTGTCTAAACTGACATTATAGACTTGAAAAAATCTATCTAATAGCCGACGTAAAACAACAAAAATAGTTTAGGGACTGATTAAACAAATTCCGAAAACATCGTAGGTCTAAAATGTCATTTCCCCAAAAGTTAAGGGGTGTTTGAGATTGCTTTTTAATCTTTAAAAAACATTTGCCAAAATGAGTTACTGATTTCTAACTTTTTAAAAATGAATTTATAAAAAATCTTTGCATTAGTTTTTATAATTGGAAAGTCAATAAATTAAAAAACGTTTGGCTAGCTTTTATATGTAAAATGACCTAAAATGATGTATTAACTTATGATAAGTTGGGGCTAGCCCACTTGACTAACAAGGTGTCTAATTAGGAGTTTCTAACCAGGAGGTCTTGGGTTCAATCCCAAGCAAATACTAACATTGTCGTTAAAAAAAAAAAACTTATGACATTTTATCCTTTGCCAAAAAAACATTTTAAAATGATTTTCAAGAAGTCAAATAAATACCTTTTTAATTTATTGGCTTTTTGAAATAATCAATAAGTTATCAAGTAATGTAAGAAGAAATCCCACTAACTACTATATAATAAATTATTACAATCACATTATCACAATAGATAAGTAGTGGAAATTAAATTGCCCAGGGTTCGAATTCTAAAATCTTTAGGCGGCATGTTTAAAAATTTGTAAATAGTTAAATACAGAAAGAGTCTTCTACTCGAAAGTGGAAGTCTTTAAATATACTTTGCTTTAGGAGATTTATTTGGTTAAATTTGTTGTTTTGCATAGGTTCCTTCCCCTTTAGAATGAATGAGTGTTTCTAACTTTCTGCTATTGCTCATTCGAAATCAATGGACTTAAAATGCAGATATTCTTTAAGGTAAATAATCTTGAAAAGAAATTGTTTATGAATAAGACATACAATGCTCCACTTCAACCTTTTGGTCTTCCACTATAGTTAGGCATAACTATAAGAAAGTTAAAGTGATACAATATTAAAATCATATGAAATTTAATTGTTATACACGTTATCAGTCATACTGTAGTAATTGAATAATCTTTACTGCACATTTTTGTATCAAAGCACTATTAAACTCCAACTTATGAACATGAAATAAAGTGGAAGAATCCGATCGACTTCGGAGTTGATTTCTAGTGGTTTAGTGATAATGATAGGACTTTAAAAAGGTAATTTTTTTTACTTTTCCTTTATTGATGATCAGTGGGGTTCTTTCATTTTACACTTTTATTTGAAAACTCAAAAAGATCAAGACAAATCATGAATGTTAGTTTTACCTTCTTCTTTTTTTTTTTTTTTTAAAATAAATGTAATTATCATTTGAGAGCATGCTTGGAGATTGGCCATACAAATACAACGTTTCTTGCTTTTTTGTATGATATATTCAAAAATATAAAGAGATTCATGGTGAGAATCATGTTATTTAAGTTAAAGAAAAGTTTATTTGGAAGTTACAAGGTTAGGTTCGCATTTAGTCTACCCCACATCCCCACTTATGTGCTGTTTTGAACTCAAATCACCAAAAAAGATTACAATCATCGGACCTTTTTAGGCACAAAAAGATTCCTTTTCTAGAAACCGGTTGCGAACTACACTACCCAAAGAACATAATGTAAGATGTAAATTGGGCATATTATGACCTCTTAGATGGCTTACATAAAAAAATGAGTGTCTATAAGAAACTTAATCCAAATTGGAAGTGAGTGGGTATTTGAGAGTGTTTTTAAAAATGACTTATTAATTTATTAAGTTTTTTCAAAAAACCAATAAGTTAAAAATGTGTTTGGCTTCTTCAAAAATGTTTTTCAATTAGTTTTGTAGCAAGGCAAAATAAGGAGGTTTTTTAATAAAGTTAGTGATTCTTGGTTTTTTCAAGAAACCAATAAAAACTTTTTTTTTAAAAGCATTTTGAGGTTAAAAAGCTTTGTCAAACCTCTAAAAACTCCTATGCAACACAAGTTTGAACTTTTGATGTCGGACATGATCACATGAACATAAATATTAGCATATAATTATTATAATTATCTCTTATGTAAATAATTAAGATTTTAACCGACAAAACAAAACAACACAAAATTCGGTGCATGGGTTTCTTTGAGTTTTGATGAACCATAAGTCTTGGATGCTAAAAATGTCGATGAGTCCACTCATTGTGTTCCATCTTATATAAACAATTATCTTTCTTTCACTTTCACCAACAATTCGCCTTTGTTCTTTTCCACTTTTTAATGAATGATTGCATGCCACTTGAATCGATATTTTCTCTTTTTATATGCTTGATTGGAACTTCAAGTCTTCTTCTACGTCAAGAACTCAAGATGCTTCAAAATTTCCTAATTTACCACCATTAAAATAAACAACAAGGTGCCACATATATATTTGCAATTCCAAAACTACATGAATTATTTCATACTTCACCGAATATATTGATAGAAATAGTAAACAACCGGTATATTGTCATCTCTATCTAATCTACTACATGGTATTTTTAGATAGATTTTGAAACATAGAAATTACACCAATATAAGGAAACTAATCAAAATCTTCACATCAAGATTGCATATCGCATGCTATCATTGACCATAAGATGATTAATCTCTGATACCCGTGAAAACTCCCCGGAAACCCAGATTCCATCACCACCACCATGCGGTTGATTAGAAGATAGACATGACAGAAGCGAGAGTGGTGCTCTTACAATGCTGTAAATAAGAGAAACACCATTCCACCCTTGTCTTGTATGGTGAACTATAACTGGAATCTCGATTCCATTCCCTTCTCCAAACATGCTCTCATCGGCAACTTTTGTGCTCTTCTTCATATTTCGCCTCATCATCGCCAATACGCGTAACATGCCTTTGGTTTCTTTAGGAAAAAAACTAAAATGGTTTTGAGTTTATGAGAGGAGAATTGGGAAGCCCGGAGTTGTTTCCATTTGGGTTTTGAATATGATGGTAATAATGGTGTTGTGAGTGCTGGTGCTTGTCACAAAGTGCTTTTTGTGGGCACTTGTAATTTTGTTTTTTTTATTTTTTTGTGGGTATTTATAAGAGAATTCAAACACTTGCACTATTAATATATTACTTTTGCATACTTTAGGTTGGCATAATTTTCATTTGTTTTTAATGGCGTTTAGCAAGATCTTGAATCTTACCTATAACATTGTTATCCTCTTATCTAAATGATATATATATATATATATATATATATATATATATATATATATATATATATATATATATATATATATATATATATATATTATGGTGAATAAAATTATAGATGGATAATTTTGGATTGGAAGAATCAATACTTAAGACAGAGAGGGGATGTAGGTAAGAGCAGTGCCACAGGATTTGTTGCACTTTGTGCCAATCTTCTGATTCTTGTTTGCATTAAAGGTATGCACTTCATGAGTATTTGATTGTTATTTTAATATTTAAAATGTTTGTGATAAAGTTTAGATCTTTCTTTATTTTATAGAATATAAGTTTGTTTAAGTAGTAAAAGAGTCGTTCTACGTAACAAAATTTTGAAAGCTTTTAAAAGTTTTTAATTTTTGGTTTTTTTGTAAAAAGATGGAATTAAAGAGAAGTTTCATTTCATTTAATTTTACATACATAAAGCTTTTATTTTAGAGTAAAAATCCTCCTAAATCAAAAACTATTTCAAATTACTTTTGAAATATTTTGTTTTGTAATTTTATGTATTTTTTTTCAACCTTTAAAGATTACGACCACTTTATTTATATACAAATAAAAACTACTAACACAGAACTACCACCTGTTTTTAAGAAACATACCATTGAACATTATTGAGTGAAAGTATCATGTATGTTGATGACACAAGGTGGATACATAGTGAAATTGTGTATGATTGAATTATACAGTTCTTTTTTTCTTTTTTTCTTTTAAGATTTTCTAGTTCAAACTTTGTACTTTTTGGAAAAGGACAAAACCTTTTTTAAAGAGAAAGAACGTAGATT